GCGTGATCCCTGGAGCCGAATTGCCCAGGGGCAAAAAGCAGGTCGTGCTTTTTTTTTTTTTTAGAAAGAGGGAAGGGGGTGTTGAAACAAAGCTGCTGAGCAGCTGATCAGCAAGCAATCAGGGAGCGAGATAAGGGACTCTAGCGATAAAGGAGGCTGCCTGGGAGGGGGGAGGTAAAGACAGCAAACTTGCAAGGAGAGGAGGCAGGAAGATTAAAGGAATGAGGAGAGAAATTAGAAGGAGCAGCAAAAAACTGCTCCAGCTAAGGAAAAGACACTAAGGCAAACAAGAGGGAAGGCGGTGTTGAAATAAAGCCGCTGAGCAGCTGATCGGCAAGGGATCGGGAGGGACATAAGGGACTCTAGAGATAAAGGAGGCTGCCTGGGAGGGGGGAGGTAAAAGCACATGGATCCTCAGCATGTTTGCATTGGGTCACCCCAAATTCACCATCAGATCACATAGCATGTCTGTGGCCACAGCATGAACCACATAAATAATACATCCACTGTTTCATTCAGAATTTCCCCCCCCCTTGTTTTCCTCCTCTAAGAACTAGGTGCGTCTTATGGTCAGGTGCGTCTTATGGAGCGAAAAATAATTTGGGTGGAAAGCACCTGCCAATCATCGTTTGTGTATCTGTGTCTAGGAAGAGGTGGGAAATATTGTTCATTGTGTGCTATATTGCTCCCTGCATAATTCTGCTCTTTGTTGGTGGATTGGGATAAATACACCACATAGCAAGCTTCCATGTTCACCTTAGTCAATGGATCAGACAGAATTTCAGTGTACAACATGGAGGGGGTGGGTCCTGTTTGCTGGGTACCTCCTGTGGCAAAATGCACTTCTGTGCTGTTTGTATTCTCCCGATGGCCGGTGGTTTCTAAATTCGACTGACTGGCTGACTGATCTGCTTTGCATGCCAAAAACCAGAGCTCCAGTCTGCAGGCAGGGCTGGGGAATTCTGAAATTATGGAGAGCTGCTACCAGTCAGGGTTGACAAAACTGAGCTACCTGGTCTAACTCTGTGTAAGTCAGTATTCTATGCTCCTCCAGAGATGCCTGTCTTTGCCAACCACACAAGTTCTTGTGGAGCCACGGGTCTCCAGGATCTGAAATAGATCCCTGGCTGTGGATGGAAGGCTTAGCAGAATTTAGGGTGGACATTTTGAACCCATTGAATCATTTCCAGAGGAAATCAGCCTTGGGCAACTTGTGAGGCTTGATTCTTAGCCTCAGTTCTTCTGATCTGTAAAATGGGAGCCTCAAAAAACTTGTGGGAAGCAGGGTGAGATAAGGGTGGTGAAATAGCCTATATTCTGAACCTTCTATGTGTACAGTGGCTGGCATAAATCACCTCTGATGCCTTCAGTTTGGGAGGAATATTTGGTTGACTATGGAGGGGAGCCAGTTCGCAGTCCTTTGGAGAGGAATATGAGCCTTTAATTATTCTGATTCTACAAAGATGATTTATGTGCAATGCTTTCCAGGCACACCTATAACTTGGTTATTATTATTCCTGGCTGCTCTTTTGGATTTTCTTTTTAAGGCAAGGGTTTAATTGCATGTAATAGGGTGGATTGTGAACAGCCCGATAGACATCTGTCATGAGCAATTTGGGCGTGGTAGATCTTGCCTCTGGCAGGGAGGATAAATTAGGTGCTGTGTTGCACTACCAGGCTCTATGGCTACCTCTTTCATGTTTATTAATATCTATTTCTATTTATTAAAATATTTCTCTAACCCATCTCATTGCCAACAACAAGGCTGGTGTACAGGAAAACAGACGTACAATAAAATTACAACTCAGCTGCTAGGTCAATGGAAAGCTCAGTTAAAAAAAATTAAAATGGCGGTACAAGTTGCAGCACAAGCAGCAAGTGCTGACTGCCACAATTCAGAGAGGAGGCGGTTCTATAGAGAGGGCAAGACTCCAACTCTAAGATTCTACGCACAATTTGTGGCCCATCAGACTAAATACAGCTCACCAGCTACATCTGGCATGCTTTTGAACATCTGCATGGAACTGCTGAGGGAGGTTATCTGGAGATTTGGGGGGCAGTGTCATCAGGATACTGATGATATACAACTCAATCCTTTTTCTTCAAATTCAAGGGAGGCTACAGAAGTTCTGAAAACGTCCTGGGGTCTGTGATGGGCTGGAATTGCTGTTGGCCAGGGGCTGAGCCAATGAGAGGTTAGATGCTCATCTTGAGATGGATTACTATCACCTTCTCACCTTGTGATGTGATTTGTGCCGTTATCATCCTCCCTTGATCATCCTTAAATACTTGTTTCAGGTCTAACTTAGATTTAATGTATCATACCACTCCTCTTTTCTTTGTTTTATCTGAGGTTATAAATTCCATTCCAATTCTTTTATTTATCAACACTTTTCTATGTCTTTTAGCCACATGAGTTTCTTGTAGGCAAACTATATCCAAATTTTGTTTTACGGTTGCATGTTCACTTTTATTCCTTTTTGTTTTACTACTTAAAACATTTACATTCCAAATTAATATCTTGAGATCAGCCATTCTGATATTTATCTTTTAATTAGAATCTTGTTTCTCTCTTCTTGAATACCTGTAATATCTTTGGACGTTTCCTCTTCCTCACCTCCTGTTGCTCCCTGTTCCCCTACCATTGGTTTAGCTTTTCCTCTTCTTTATATCTCCTCCAAAACTTCTGTGCCTCGTCCACGTCTCTGCATCTCTGTTTCTTATTTTTGTGTGTAAAAGAAATTCCTTCTTGGACTTCTCATCTATAAGGTATTTTATTGTTTCTCAAAGGCGTCTGTTAGAAAGTTATAATTTATGCATTTTTCTTAAGAAGACAGGTTGGAATTTCCTTCCTCCAGTTTGTAATCTGTTTTGGTAGTTTGTTTGTATTATTCTGTCTTTAATTGATCTTGAATTAAAAATCACCAAACGGTCTCCTGGTAATTTCCTAATCTTTGCAAAATTTGATTTAACATGATAGATCCTGTCAAATGAACCATCCAGCTCCTCCTCTATATTTCTAACCATTCAGACAATGTGTTAATTAAAGACTCTTTTACATTCTCCTCCTCTTGCTCTGGGACTCCTCTAAAAAGTAAAATCATCTCCCGCTGCTTCATTTCCTAAGCCAATATTGCATCGCAGCTTGTTTCCTCAGTGGCACAGACAGGTATGAGGTTATGATAAAAACTGGGCAGGGAAACAGAAGGGTGTTTCATAGAGGAATTGTTTCTCTCTCTTTTTTTAAAGATATTTATTAAAGTTTTCAAAGTTTTCAAAAAAGCAAAATAAATTAATTAATTAAAAACACATAAATTTCACAACTTATTTTTCAATGACATATTTCCCTGACCTCCTCATACCTCCCCTTCTTGTATCTCCAGTTCGAATTGTTTGTTCAGCAAATCCTTATCTCAAAGCATTACAGCTAAAAATAACACCTTATTTTTTATCCAACATTTTAGGTTATTATAACCTTAAATTTTTACTTATAAAAAACCATTTTTTCATATTCCTTTATACCATTACCGCTAGAAACCACTTAATTTCAATCCAACATCATTCAACATTCTTTAATTTTACAATATTTCTGTAAATAGTCTTTGAATTTTTTCCAATCTTCTTCTGCCGACTCTTCTCCCTGGTCGCGGATTCTGCCAGTCATTTCTGCCAATCCCATACAGTCAATCAACTTCATCTGCCATTCTTCCAAAGTGGGTAAATCTTGCGTCTTCCAATACTTTGCAATAAGTATTCTTGCTGCTGTTGTAGCATACATAAAGTTCTATCCTTTTTTAACACCAACTGGCCGACCATGCCCAAGAGAAAAGCCTCTGGTTTCTTCAAGAAGGTATATTTAAATACCTTTTTCAATTCATTATAAATCATTTCCCAGAAAGCCTTAATCTTAGGGCATGTCCACCAAAGGTGAAAAAATGTACCTTCATTTTCTTTACATTTCCAACATTTATTATCGGGCAAATGATAGATTTTTGCAAGCTTGACTGGTGTCATGTACCACCTGTATATCATTTTCATAATATTTTCTCTTAAGGCATTACATGCCGTAAATTTCATCCCAGTGGTCCACAACTGTTCCCAGTCAGCAAACATAATGTTATGTCCAACATCTTGTGCCCATTTAATCATAGCAGATTTAACCGTCTCATCCTGAGTGTTCCATTTCAACAGCAAGTTATACATTTTTGACAAAATCTTAGTTTTGGGTTCTAACAGTTCTGTTTCCAATTTGGATTTTTCCACCTGGAAGCCAACTTTCTTATCCAAATTGTAAGCCTCCATTATCTGAAAATAATGAAGCCAGTCTTGCACTTTGTTTTTTAGTTTCTCAAAACTCTGCAATTTCAGTCTATCTCCTTCTTGTTCCAAAATTTCCCAATATTTCGGCCATTTGGCCTCCATATTGAGCTTTTTCTGAGCTTTCGCTTCCATTGGTGACAACCACCTTGGGGTATTATTTTCCAATAAATCCTTATATCTAATCCAAACATTAAACATTGCTTTCCTAACAATATGGTTTTTAAATGCTTTATGTGCTTTAACCTTGTCGTACCACAAATATGCATGCCACCCAAAAATGTTGTTAAAACCTTCTAAATCCAAAATGTCTGTGTTCTCAAGAAGCAGCCAGTCTTTCAGCCAGCAGAACGCTGCTGATTCATAATAAAGTTTAAAGTCTGGCAGGGCGAATCCACCCCTTTCCTTTGCATCAGTTAAGATCTTAAATTTTATTCTGGGCTTCTTGCCCTGCCGGACAAATTTAGAGATATCTTTCTGCCACTTCTTGAAACAGTCCATCTTGTCCACAATTTGCAATGTCTGAAACAAAAACAACATTCTAGGCAATACATTCATCTTTATAACTGCAATTCAACCCAACAAGGAAAGCTTCAAATTTGACCAAATTTCTAAGTCTTTTTTCACTTCCATCCAACATTTTTCATAGTTATCTTTAAACAAATTCCCATTTTTAGCTGTCATGTTAATCCCCAGGTATTTCACTTTCTTAACAACAGTTAAGCCTGTTTCATTCTGAAACTTCTCTTTTTCGGTCAATGTTAAGTTTTTTTTTCTAAAACCTTAGTTTTTGACTTGTTCAACTTGAATCCTGCCACCTGACCAAATTCTTGAATTAGTTCTAAAACTCTTTTAGTATTAGATTCTGGCTCCTGTAACGTCAAAACTAGATCATCTGCAAATGCTCTCAGTTTATACTGTTTAGTTCCGACCTGTATGCCTTTAACCAACCGGTCCCTTCTAATCATGTTCAGCAGGACCTCCAGGAACGCAAAGAGGAATTGTTTCTCTTTGTGTGATCAATCAATCAATCAATTGGTCTCCGAGTCCTGACTATTCTGAACCTTAATTTGGAGCAGACTGACAATGTATAATCAAATTGACAGATATTACTGAAAATGATTGAAGCATGTAGCTGTCTCAAGACCCCTTCCCAGCCCCAAATGTTTTCTTTTCCTTTTTTTCTTGGAGGAAGGTCCCCCTGACCATTAGGCTATACTCTGTGTATGCAGGCATGTGGAAGGGATGCTACCCTTCTGAGTGTGATCAGCTCTCCATTGGATGGAGGGGACAGGGGAGAGGAAATGATCATATACAAACAATGGCATTTGGAAAGGGAAAAGTTGAAGCGTAAAGGTTGATTCCTAGAGAGAAAGGCAGACCACACAGAAAGCAATGTCTAGAATCTTCATTAAGTTCTCTACAAGTGCTCTCAATTCAAAAGGAAGCCCAGCTGCCCTGCAGCTGCTCTTTGTGGCACTCGGAACGCAAGGAGCACTGCTCCTGCCTGCTTGCCTGCCTTTTCTGAAGACCTCCTTCTGGGCATGCCAATTCTCGGTCTCACTGCCTTGCCATGTTGTTTTTTAGCATGGACAGGAGATGTTGGCTGGGTACAATCTTTGGATTGATCCGACCGCCGCAGCGTCTAAAAAGCTCCTCGCTGGCAGTCACCGCAGCGTTTGACACAGCCCCGTCCAAGTCACCCTGAAGGTCCAGGAGAGCTGCAATGGAAGAAGGAACATGAGAACCACAGCAGAGTACTCCCGGATCAGGCCAATGTCCTGCGTCCTGCTCTCACAATGGACAACCAGATGCGCCAACAGGAAAAACGCATAAGTGGGACCCAAGCACAAGAGCCCGGTTCCCTCCTCTGGTTTCCCGCAACTGGTGCTCAGAAGCATTTCTGCCTCCAACTGTGGAGGCAGAGCAGAGCCATTGTGGCTAGGAGCCATTGACGGCCCCTCCTCCAATCCTCTCTCAAAGCCATCCAAGTTGGTGGCCATCGCTCCCTCCTCTTGTAAGTTGCCCTAAGAACATGGTCATAAACCGCACGTAGATATTTAAAAAGATAAATTCAAAAGAGGGACAGGGCTACATCTTGTCAGGAGCGAATGCCTCTCATGATAAGGCCAGAAGGAGCTGCCTGGAACAGAGTTACGCCCATTAGGTTGCTGAGCTCAGTATTGTTTACGTGGAAGAGGTTTCCAGGACTGGCCGTTTTTTGATGAGGAGAAGTGACACACACGGACCCCAACCCCCTTACCATTGGCTCTGCTGGCTTTGGCTGATGGGAGTTGTAGTCCCAACAACATATGGAGGGGGCTGATGTACAGGACAGGAGAATTGCAAAGCAATGGGGTTGCAATGGCAAAGAAAAGCAGCCTAGGAATTGAGCTGGCTCCCTGGGTAGCGCATGCCATTTTATGGGGTGAAATATGTTTAAAATATGTTTTTGGGTGTGAGGAATTAAAATCTGCGATTATTTTTGTGACTGAACAGCATTTAGCATAGTAAGTCTATGTCTGATGAAGAAGCAGGAAAAACTGCTTTCGGAAAAACCAAAGAATTTTAACTTCTGAAAATGTAAGGTAATTACATTAATACTGAAATAAAAATTACTAAGTTCCTAGCAATCGTTTGTAATGATTTCTATGCAATTTTACACTCATTTCACTGACCAAGCAAAAGCAAATCATATTCATTTCACCCAAACAACATCTGAATTCCCAAGTCATTTTACAATGTTTTAGCACTTTCTGAATTTGAAAGCTGAAAAATTCAGCACGCCCTACTGTGACAATTCATTTCGTCTTGGCATTACTAGGTCAATTAATGCCAGTTGTTAAAAAGAGAAAGGATCTGTTCAAGTCCAAGTGAACAGAAACAAAACTTTGGTTGTTAGGTCTAATCCAACTATATTATACTTTCCCAATGCAGTTTTTTGCCCAGCACAAACTCGTCAGATTTTCCGTCATGTCAGTGGCTAGAAGAACATGGGAATCACAATCCAGAAGGGAAAGGAGACTGCAGGGGCTGATAGTAACTAAATTGAGATAATCGGGGATTAATGAGATTGGGAAAAAAGCAGTCCTGTGATGAAAATATCCCTGCAAGGAAAAGAGCCGGTTTGATCCTTACCCAGATAAATGTCGTCAATTTGTTTGGTGCTCACCAAGTCGGGTTTCATGTACTGTGCATTGCACGCTAGACAGATCAATAGAAAACGATCAGTTCCTGCATTTGGTACTTTGTCCAGCTTAAAAACATTCATCAGACCTGAGGCACATAGGCTGCTGGTACTCTATAGAAGGAGCTAACAACTTCTGGATCACTTTAACAATTTGCTGGTTTAATCGTAGGAACCTAGGAAGCTGACTGTAGCTGGGTCAAAGCATTGGTCTGTCCAGATCAGGACTGTCTACACCGACTAACAGGGGCTCCTCAGGATTCTATACAGGGGAAATGGTGTGGCGTAGTGGGGGCTACTGGGGGGATTGCCCCAGGCACAAAAAGGTTGAGGGGCGCGCCTGTTTTAATACAGGCAATCCTCATTTTGTGTGGGAGTAATGTTCCAGACCCCCACATGCGTTGGTGGGGGCCACGTAAAGCATTCCACCCCACCCTTGTTCTGCCCTGCCGTACCCCACCCCCATTCGACCCTTGCTCTGCCCTTTCAGTGACATCTTAATAATGTTTCGGTGACGTTTTCAGGCCACTTCCAGTGCGCATGGTGCACCAATCACAAGAAACCAGTCACTGCCTGTATTTAAAAGTGGTAACCCACCCTGGGACCTTGGGGCATGGGTTGGATAAACAACAACAATAGAGAAGCGCCTGACTTTCTGGGTGCAGCCTCCCTTTAGCGCTCTCCTTTGGACAGAGTTAGGCAGCGCATGACACCCGGACTTGCATCCCTGCCTCTCAGCCTCCAGGTTTCCCAGCTGAAATCCCACTTCTGGCTCATGCCCTGAAACACCCTTTCCTCTCAAGAGCTTTGCTTTCAATTACCTATCAAGATGGTCGCCGCCTCGCGATGTGCAGGGTTCCTGCTCTTTAGGTATTCCATCATCTGCGTGAGCATGTCCGGCAACCTCTGCCTGTATCTCCACAACTGGGGGGGGCGGGGGGAGTGGACAGGAAGGCAACCGAGGTGCCAGATTAGTCTTTCCTAAAACTCCAGCTTCTTAACACATTTCTATCCCTCGTGGTGGCCAAACAATACTTGAAAAGTATAACCTAATTATTTCCGGATTGGCCGCCCACAGTAATACTACTGCCTTTATATAATGCAGAATCACACTTCATGCCCAAGTATTAAGAGCACAGAAGATTTTAGTTGGTTTCGTTGGCAGAACTACGGAGGCAGAGCAGAGCCATCAGAGCAGAGCCACCCTCCATGAATTTGTCCAATCTGATTTTAAAGCCATCCAAGGTAGTGGCCACCTGTGCGTCTTGTGGCAGTGAGTTCCATAGCATAGCTGTGGATGTGGCAGTGTTGCTGGGCCTCTGTTTGTGGCTGTGCTGCACAGAGATAATAGTGACAAAATGTCTTAGAAGACATCTGTGGTGGTGAAGGCAAGGTGGCTGCGGCCGGCTGATGCTGATGCCACAGATACAGACACAGGGAGATGAGAAGGCAGGTGCTGCAGCCACATACCCTCCGACATTTCTCTGATGAAAACAGGGATGCCCCATACCATAATGAGAATTTGATTATTTATACCCCACCCATCTTAGTGGGTTGCCCCAGCCACTTTGGGCAGCACCCAACACACATAAAACCATAATAAAACATTAACAAAATGTTAAAAAACATGCCCATACAGGATTGCCTTCAGATGGCTCAGAGGTCGGATAACTCCATACCCTCCAACATTTCTCCAGTGACAATAGGGACATCCTAAGGAAAAGTGGGACATTCCAGGATCAAACCAGAAACGGATGGCTTCTCTAAAACAAGGACGTCCCTGGAAAATAGGGACACTTGGAGAGTCTGCAACTGCAGCTAATCCAGGGGGATGCACATCAATACACCACAATGGCATAAAACTGGGGGGGGGTTAATTTAGCAGAGGGAGAGAGGGAGGAGCAGCTGTTGCACAGCATCTTTCTAAGAAAAATCAACACACACACACACACACACACACACACACACACCATTTCTCAAGAGTCTATTTTGAAGAATTTCAGCTAGATATTCTTCCAGTTCCTTACCCAAGCAATGTTCTGGGGCATTGTGGTAGATACAAAATAGTAGCCAGGCAGTAGAAAAAAAATAAGCCTGCAACTCCCACTGCCCACATCAAACACACACAGTTTGGGAGGAAAGTAAGTGAGTCCCAAACTTAAGAAATGGATGGAAAATGGATGGAAGAAATCTGGTGAAAAGGTCTGGAGGGAACAGCTGACCATGTTAATTTTACTCACAATGTACTTGCAGATAACTGAGAATTTGTAGTAGAGTCTGTCTTGCTGCACAGACTCAAAGATGTCAACGGGCAGCTCCCCCAGTTTCAGGAAGGTGACAATTGTGTTAAGGACAATTCGACACTCCTAGAATTGAAAGGAGGGGTGACATTTTACTTCACCTCAAGCCTTAGGCTTGCAACAGCTTTGAAAATATACATATCTGCATTGAGGCCGCAATGCAAATAAAATGCAGACAGTAACCCAGGTAGGGTTAAAAACACAACTAGCCCACTGGGAATTAAGCACCTGTAAATCCTGAGAGCTCACCTAAGTTTTTAACAAGCATCAAAACGCCACTAATGTAGGGGCTCACCTGCGCTCAGAAGGGAAGTGATTCCATAGAGAGGAGCCACCCTGAAAAAGACCCTCCCTCTGGTTACTGGCTGCTAAATGAACCTCCACCAGGCCGGCCTATTCAGCTGATCACAGTGACAGCAGAGGTGTCAAAGCTTAGTTTCCAATCCCAGGAACTCAAACCTGGGTGTTTCAGATGGTGTCTAATGACCAGGATTTAAAACCAACCCTGCAGGGCTTCCACTCCTTAAAGCTAACCAGCCTGAATCAGAAGACTTCCAGAACCGACTTCTTTGGAAGGTGGTGGCCTCTCCTTCACTGGAGGTTTTTAAGCAGAGGTTGGAGGACCATCTGTCAGGGATGCTTGAGTTGAGATTCCTGCATTGCAGGGGGTGGACCTTGGGATCCCTTCCAACTCTGATTCTGTGGTTCGATGACTCTGATGGTTCCAACCTTTTGCAGAGGAATCCCAACCACAGCATGGTATCTAAGAGGATCTCTAACTTTTCTGACCTCAGGTGTGGTGATGACTCAGACCCCAAGCACAATCAAGGCCCACCCATTCGAGACCAGTCTACGCATTACTTGATCTGTGGGGCAGCATGGGATGATTCTCCAAGCCCTGCTGGAAGACGCAGAGCAACGCTCCTCGTGTGGAAATTCCCAGGAAAGGGGAGAGTTCCTCAGCTGCAACAGATGCTTCGAGGACCACCCAGCATTGGTATCGTAAGGGGTTTCCACAGGCAGAGAAACATTGCTGTGCATTCCAGCTGCGTGCGACAGTTGCCAGGGAGAAGCAGTTTGCCAAAGGGGCCAGGCGATGCCCAGACTGGCCCTTCCAGCCTCAACTCACCTCTCCGCTCACAGGGTCAGTCAGCTGGATTATCAGGGGGACGAGGCTCCTGACGACGATGTCCTCCACCCTGTTTCTGTGCTCTTCCTTCACGCCCCTCAACAGCACCCCAAAAAGATTGATGGAGCAAACCCTGAACTCATTGTCCTCCTGAGGAGAGAGAGGAGGAGAACGCCAGTCAGTCCCAAGTGCTGTGCAGGGCAAACCCGTCTCACGGGTTTCAGGGAGTTTAGCTGAGCAAAAGCTTCTTGTTCTCTATGGGTCTGGTTGTTTGAGGGTGTTAGCCGGGCCCACACAACAGGGGACCAACCCCGGGGGCCTTTGCCCACCACCGTCAAGGAGCTTAACGGACTGAGTTCATCTTGGTGCATCTAAAGTTGTGCCAGCATCACCTGCTGGCAGACAGAGTCACCTGAAGTGCAGGTGAAGCAAGAAGTCTTGCAGATTAGGCCAGTGGGATCACTTGTGGGGAGGGTGACAGAGGGGGGCTTGAGGTATAAATGCGGCGTGCGTGTGGCACATGGCGTGGCATGTGTGCATGACATGTGCATGTCACACAGCGCCTGCCCCCTCAATTGCAGGGGCAAGACGGCGCAGCTGGTGTTCTGAATTTCACTGTGTTATTATCTTCTTTATTTTTCCCCCATAAGTCTTTATTAAGGCTTTTTCATAATACAATAAAAAAAAGGAAACTGATCTAAATAAAAACAGAAAGAGAAACAGAAATGCAGAGTCTTCTCTCAAGGATAGCTCTTAACCCTTGTCTCACCAGGAAAGGGGTCAACCCTCCCAACCTCTTCCCTTCCCTCTCTCTCACTCAGGGTCCTTCACCAACAAGCCATCACCTTCCTTGGAGCCCAGCATGGGCGTAGCCAGGATTTATGTTGGGGGGCAGTATTTATGTTGGGCGGGGGTGGCAGCCGAACCAAGCTATCTGTGATGCGATTGGTCAGTTAATTAAGTATTTTTATTTATTTACTTGATTGAAGGGCCAGTTGCCCCCTCCCCCGTTGACCATGCCCAAAGAGCCCAATAACCAATGGCCCTGAGCAGAGGACACCACGGAAAACAAAAGGAGAAGAAAGAAGGTGGATGGATGGATGGATGGATGGATGGATGGAAGGAAGGAAGGAAGATAAAAAGGAATTTCGATTTTGTGTTATAATCTTCCTTAGTGGGTCGTGCAAACCTCTCTTCTGAATACAGTGGCAACTTGGTTCTCAAACGCCTGGGTACTCAAATGCCTTGGTTCCCAGACGCCAAAAACCTGGAAGTATAAGTGTTCCAGTTTTTGAACATTTTTAGGAAGCCGAACGTCCGATACAGCTGTCGGCTATTTTTTCAGGGCACTTGCACCAATCAGAAGCCGCGTTTGAGAACCAAGGTACCACTGTATATGGCGCTTTTGTTTTTACTATTTATTTTTGCATTTTTGTTTTTGAGGCTTTTTTGGTTAATTAGTTTTGTGACTGTGTGGAACCCAGTTCAGCTACTGATTGTGTGACTGCGGAAATGGATAAAAGTCCCCCATCCAAGCAATGACTATCATCAGTGCAGGTAAGAAAAAATTTTTTTTTCATTTTTATCATCTACAATACGGTCTTATTTATTTTATAGTACGGTACATTGATTATTGCTTTCATTTTATGGATTAATGGTCTCATTAGAGAGTAAAATTCATGTCAACTTGCTGTTTTAGGGGTTGTTTTTAAAAGTCTGGAATGGATTAATCCATTTTGCATTATTTCCTATGCCTGAGTGCACCTTGGTTTTGAAACGCTTTAGTTTTGGAATGGACTACGGAACGGATTAAGTTTGAGAACCAAGGTACCACTATGATTCTTTTCATAGTGTTGGGGGCACTGGGGATGAGGCTATGGAACCAAAGGGGCAGCCCCCCCCCAAATGTTTGGGAAGCACCAGGGCATGGATGAAGCCCATTTCGAGTAGGCTTGTTGACTTACATCATTGAAGTGTTTAAAGAGTTGAGGGTAGAGGCTGCAGCCGGCCAAGCTGTATTCCTCTTCCTCCAAGTGGTGGAACATGAGTTGCAGGCACTTAATGGACTCTTTCGCAATACTCCTGTCCTGATTGGAAGCGCAGTTGATCAGGGGCGAGATGAAGGGCTTCAAGGACTTTTCCTGAAGGAAGCAAGGAAGCAGGTGAGGGAACACGGTCACTGCAGAGAAGTCAGCGCACGCAGAGGCAGTTTGCACCCAAAAAGCCACAGCGTAAGCATTACACAAAAGTAAACAACCCAAGCGGGTGCTCTCTCATGAGTCGTTGTGCAGGGTGGGGCCTCCAATAGGGGAAGGGAACCAGAGCTGGAGTGTCTGCTTTGCATGCAGAAGGTCCCGGGTTCAAGTCCTGGCATCTCCATGCAGGGTTGGGAGAGACTCTTGAAACCTTGGGGAGCTGCTGCCGGTCAGTGTGGGCAACCCTGAGGTAGCCAGACCATTGGCTTGGCTCTCTTTAAGGCAGCTTCCTGCCTATGCTGATCTGCACCTGAGAATAAGGCTGCAGCAGAACAAAGGAATCTCATTTTAACAGCCTCTTTGAAAGGCTGATATGGCTCCCTCAAAGCGTTGTGGGGTTAATTTGTACGCCGCTTCTTAATGTGCCCCCCGCCACCAATCTCTTACCTCCAGCTGGTGCTGCAACATGTAGCCCAGTCCTTGGATGCTGAAGAGCTGCATGAGGGGGCTGGCTTGCCCCATCCACTCCTTCAGGATGTCCAGAATGTCTTGCGTCACGAAAAACAAGCCTATCTGCGAGTGGAAAAGGAGCTGCGGAAGAAAACACATGATCACGGAATGTCCCTGTTTTCCCTGCCAGAGCTGCCAGGGGAGGCGGATGAGCCAGAGCTTGTCCCCAATGACGGTGGTGGCTGTGAGGGGGCCTCTGGTTGCCCCTCCATGGCATCTCCGTGGCCACTGCTGCTGGCCTCCTCCCTTGGGCAGCTGGTAGAGCAGCGGTTCTCAACCTGTGGGTCCCCAGATGTTGTTGGACTACAACTCCCATCATTCCTGAGATTTGGCCTTGCAAGCTAGGGATGATGGGAGTTGTAGTCCAGCGACATCTGGGGACCCACAGGTTGAGAAAGGCTGTTGTAGAGGCTGCTGGAAAGCAGGTGAGGACGGGAAGAGGCTGCGGCCACTAAAGCCCAGCCCTGTGTGCCATGCTGGCTCTGAGGGGCAGGCAGAGGGAGGGGCCCCCCTGGGTGGGATGAAAGGGGGAGCAAAGCGCAAGGAGTTCGATAAGAGCTGAGGGCAGTGTGCATTAACTAAGGCCTGTAGAAATTGCTGCCTCAGGCAGAGGGCAAGCCTGCCAGCCATCAATGGTGGCGCAGGAGACCTCCTTACACCCTCTGCTTTCCTTGCCTGCCTGGGAGCGGTTGTTGCGAAGCAGGAGCGCCTGCAGACATTCCCCGTTTCCGACTCTCACCTCGGTGAAGAAGGCCATCCCGACCGTCCTCTCCTTCACGTCAGGGCGGCGCAAGTAGGCATTGGCCTCTTTAAAAGTCCTTTTGAGGTGCACTTTGCAGAAGCTGAACAAGGTCCTGGAACACAAAATCAGACACAAAGGATGCACAAGCCTGAAGCTGGCAGGAAGAACCGCTAAGTATTCCTGAATAATAATAATAATAATAATAATAATAATAATAATAATAATTCATTACTTGCACCCTGCCCACCTGATTGGGTTGCCCCAGTCCCTACCCTCTACTCCTCTCCAATTTCACCCAAGTCGTATCCCAAGTCCTATCTAGCTCTCTCTGTCGAGGAAGGATGCTTGAGAGTGCAGCGCAGTATCTTGCAAATAAATCTCCAAAGCCAGCAGAGTTTTCAGTGGGGAAGGTTCATTACTCCATTTCCCCATATGCACCCACTCGACCTCTTCGATTGGTGGAATTGGCACCCTTTCAGGCACCACAGAATGCCTGCCCTGCATTTAGTGTGTCGGCACCTAAACTATGGAACTCCCTGCCTATTGATATCAAACAGGCGCCTTCACTGTACTCTTTTGGGCACCTGCTAAGAATGTTCTTCTTTAGACAAGCCTACCCAGATGTTTAGAAAGCTGGTGCAAATGTTAATCCGGTTTTAGTCTATTGTTATTTTAACTTTTCTAAAGTCTCAAATTATTGTTGTCAGTTTTTCTAATTGATATTTTCTTATCTTTTCTTTTTAACCGCTTTGAAGTTTGTTTATTACACTAAAACAGCATATACATTTTCTGAAATAAATAATAAGTTTATCCCCATTTGCCAGAAAGCAGGCCTTGGTGGGCTGCCTTTCGTGCCTCACCTGCCAGTCCTTTTCACCGTCTTACCTTGTCAGAAGACGAATGCCATCAAAAAAGCTTTCTGGGTTTGACAGCATGTCCCAGCACCTTTGCACCTCCAAAATTTTGTATTCTTCAATGTAGCCCCCACATCCGATAAGGTTTTTCAGAGCCTGCACAGTGGTCCTGAATCGAGTGAAAGAATTAAGAATATTATATTTATTTATCCATTTTAAAAAATTGTATACTGCCCTTCACCCATAGATCTCAGGGCAGTTCACAACACAAAAATACAAGATAAAAAGCACAAAATAAATACTAAAAACATGAACAAACCAAACCAATAACTCCTTCTCCCTCTCACAGACACAGCTGAAAGGGCGTAGGGTGTTAATCTGCCAATGGCCTGACTGAAGAGGAACAATTTGGCCTGGCATCTAATGGTATATAATGAAGGCACCAGGCAAGCCTCCCTGGGGAGAGCATCCCACTAATGGGGAGCCACCACAGAAAAGGCCCCTTCTTGTGTTGCCACCCTCCGGACTTCTCGTGGAGGAGGCACAGGAAGAGGGGCCTCCAATGATGATCACAAGGTCTGGGTAGGTTCATCTGGGGAGTTTTAGCTCCTTGACATCTTGCAGTCTTGAGCTGCTTGGCATGATGGATCCAGCCACAACCACCAGCCCCCACAGCCTCTCACATGTTTCCAGCACAAGCTGCAAACTTCCGGCTGCGATGGAGACTTAAGGTTTCATGACACGTGAGTCGCGCCACAACAAAACAAGCCCATTGGGCGGGAGAGTCTCCAACATCCTTTCCCACCCTAACATCCTTTGGACTACAACTCCCATCTTCGCCAGAGTTGTGCTGGCTGGGGCTGGTGGGAGTTGTGGTCCAAAGCGACTGAAGAGCACAGGGGTTGGGGAAGCCTGGGTCTCTTAGCTACCCAAGCTAAGCAGAACCTCCATGTCCAAGTGCAGCCTATCTCTCTGGGGAGGGCTGAGCCATCACTGCTATGGGTCAGGCTTGCAAGCGCCCAGAGAGAGAAGGGTGGGCCCCCCCCAAATGTATTGGCAGGTCCCTTACGCCAGCGGATGGAGATGCGAAGGGGGCTCCGGCATGAGACTTGCCGCCCTCGAAACTCTTCTGCTCGTCCCAAAAAGAAAATAGATCTGAGTGATAAGGGCAAGCAGCAGCTGGGGGAACTTGTTCTGCAGTACATCCGAAGCCTCAGGTAGCGACAGGATCAGACACAAAGCGTTGGTAGCCTGGAGGGACAAGGACAGGAGAACAGCATTCAGCAGAGGACATCGGCAGATCAAGATCTCCCAACTCTATGCAGGATGCGACTCAAATCCCTGGTCCATCTCACTCAGTATTGTCTACACTGACTAGCAGAGGCTGTCCAGGGTTTCAGGCGAGGGACACTCTGACCTGGAGATGCTGGGCCCTTCTGCATACAAAGCAGGTGTTCGGCCCCTGAGCCAGGGCTGTGCTCCAGGAGCCCCCCCCCCACAGCGATGGACCACTAAGATGCCGCTGGGAAGAACCCCAGAGGCCAGTTATTAAGATGCAACGCCCCCCCCCAGCCAGAAGCCCCCAGCCCCATCCAGCTCCCATTCAAGAACAACCCAGGAGAGAGAAACTGAGTGGTTTCGTACCGCCATTGGCATTTGAGAAGTGCTGCGTCGCCTGTACGTGACTTCTGCGTTGGGGTCTTCATCCTGTAGCCTTTTCAGGAGGGGTCTCAGCAGCTTGCTGCTGGAGTACGGATTGGAGACCAAGGCCTTCCAGATCGCTGCAGCACTTCTGCAATTTGTCAAAAGAGAATTTTTCCTTTTTCCCTTTCTTAAAAAAAGTCAGGCCTTCTGTATTTCCTTTATATCGCACGTGCATTAGCAAAAAAAGAAACTACTATTCCCCTTTTTGATATGTAACTCGGGGCACAATTTTTTGCAAGTATGAAACGGAAATATAAATTAAGAAAGCCCACTTAAATTCAGCTCTCCCCATTTCCACTTTGCAGATTTTCATATCCAGTTTTGCCTCTTAAACACCTTTTGCAAATCAATCTCCTCTAATTTTATGTCTTTCTATATGTTATTTCCACCAGTTCATTCATTTGTGTGCCTACGTGTGTGTGTGTGTGTGTGTGTGTGTGTGTGTGTGTGTGTGCGCGCGCTACTTGACTGGAGAACTGCATTGAAAAATTCAGAATAGTGCGAATTTTGAAATACGACAGTTCTCATTTAGGAAACTGCAAATGACGTAAGCTCTCACTTAAAAGTGACCCAAACGGAATTTGTTCCCTGTCCCTCGCAACTGTCCAGAAGGTGTGTGTGTGGAAAACCTGGCATGGCTTCCACCTAAATCTTGAACAGAGGTTTGATCCACAGCGGGTACTGCTTTTCACAGCGTGGATGAAAGCCTCATTCCCGCAGAGCAAGCAGTTTCCAGGGGACAAAAAGTTGGCAGCTCTACTTCAAAAACCTGGGAGATGCCCCAGAGTTGGGAAATCTCCATCCGTGGCTGATGGGCTGTGGCCTGGCTTGGTGGATCGCAGGTTATGCAGGGCATCTGAGACGCCCTGAGATTTGCAGGCAAAATGGATATATCCCCCCATAACGCACTCATCTCTAAGAGGCCCTTACTCATCACACTCCAGCGAGCAGTCCAACAGGGTATCTACGACCGGGTTCAGGCGCTTTGCAGCAAGGTTGACCACAGCTGTGAGTGTCTCATCCTTAGTGCGGGTGTCTGATATTCTGTGGAGTTGGTTGTGAATCTCCTTCACAACTATGGGCAGCTGGAAGAAGATAAAAGAAGACCAGGATGAGAAAGTGTGGTGAACCTGAAAGAAAACGAGGGATTTGGGGGGAATAATATATGACAAGATAAAAAAGATGCTCAAAGTGATTATTACCCCCCACCAAGAAAAACAAACAAAACAAAACTGAGATTAAAAACATGGTGGTTGGTTTTTGGAAGCTGAACTGCAGCAGAATGGAAACAGAGGCGCAATCCACAAATGTGGAAATCAATTCCTTCTTACACCCCTAGAAACAAGCTGATTCTAAATCCAAGGAGAACATTTAATTTAGAGGAAACCTGCTTCCCCCTGCCGCCATTTTGAGCCTTACATCTTCCATGTCCACTCCGCATTCCTCAAGGAAGGAACTCAGCAGCTTTCCTGAGGCCTGAGAGATGACTCTGTCTTCCACTGTCAGGTTGTCAATCGCCTTCAACACGACTTCGTTGATCTGGCTGGGCGTGAGGTGCTCCCCAAAAGCCTGGCACAAAGAAGAAAGACGAGGGAGTTTTCTTCTGCTCCGCATCTGACCACTTTTCAGTAGTCCAAGGGACAAACGAAGTGAAAGACACATCCACTCTGCCTGAGATGACCCTCAGGGTCCCTTCCAACTCTCCAATTCTGATTCTATCTACATGTTTATTTAAGTAACTGAAAGATTTCACAACAAACAAAACTAAGAGTCGGGTGACGCCTTCCTATTTTCGATCCCCATCTAAAACTGGTTATGACCTTGGAACATGAAGAGGTACAATCTAAAGTCAGACTAGAAAATAAGACAACTGCTCTTGCAGAAACAGAGAGGGCGAGTAATAGTGGATATCAGTTGTATAATCAATCAATGCCAAACGAAGTCAGATTAGGTGGGAACCTGCAGGCTGTGTGTTTATTTCTTAATATACGTCAAAAACATCCACCACAATGTTAGCATAGTCCAGGCTTCCTCAATCTCAGCCCTCCAGATGTTTTGAGACTACAATTCCCAGCATCCCTGACCACTGGTCCTGCTAGCTAGGGATCATGGGAGTTGTAGGCCAAAAACATCTGGAGGGCCGAGGTTGAGGAAGCCTGGCATAGCCCATTGGCTTGTCAGTGCCTCATGAAACGGGCACCAAATGGGTCAACTTTTCATACTCTTTTTCTGCCCAAGGTGGCAATGCATGCTTCTCTCTCCTCCCCATTTATCCTCATGAGGTAGTTTAGACTGAGAGACCGTGACTGACCCCATGAGTTTCCTGGCTGAGTGGGGATCTGAGCCCTAGGTCTCCCAGCGCCTGGTCAGACTCTCTAGCCACTGCACCACACTGCCTCTTCTTGATCCAGCAAAGGTCAGACATGCAGGGAAGCAGCTCTCCTCACCGCAGTGGCCCATCAGATGCACAGCTAGGGCTACTCCACAATTCTCCTGCAGGATCCATTGGCCTGGCAGCTTGCAGCTTGTAATGCATATGGGTCTCTATCCAGGGCTCACAGTTGTGGCAGTGCCTGAGTAGTTTGGGGTTGAGATCTATCTATCATCTATCTATCTATCTATCTATCTATCTATCTATCTATCTATCTATCTATCATCTATCTATCTATCATCTATCTATCTATCTATCTATCTATCTATCTATCTATCTATCATCTATCTGTTTTGTGTAATGTGACCTTTTAGAATACAGTCATACCTCGGTTTACAACCGCTTCAGGTTGCGTTTTTTCAGGTTGCAGACCACCGAAACGGGGAAGTACCGCTTTGTGCATGCGCAGAAGTGCTGAATCGCAACCCACGCATGCGCAAACACGGGTTGCAAATGCTGCGGGTTGCGAACGTGCATCCTGCATGGATCACGTTCGCAACTCAAGCGTCCACTGTAAGTAGAATTTGGCATGCAGTTTAGACCAATGGGCGCTTGGCTTCAAAAGATTTATTCTAATACAATGCATTTCCATATGTTATTTACACTAATTTATTCATTTTCTGGACACTTTTAGCTTGCACAATCCTTTTTGTAGACACTGTTTGGCCAGGAAATGGCCCTGAAAAACTCAAGGATGTATGAATTTCAGAGGCAGCTTATGTTTCCGTTCTCATATTGTTTCAGGAAGCCTGGATTTGATAGCTTTGGCTTTAAATGTGAACTGCTCTGAATCTCTTCCTCATCTCCTAGAAGGCGTGGGCTGCTAACTGAGAGCTGGCTGCAGTCTTAGCAAGAAACAGTCTAAAAAGCCACACCTACCTTGGCCACTTTGGAGATGTCAGAGTAAAAGATTGCGGGCCCAGGGACGAAGAAGTCTTCTCGTGCCCATTGGACCACGTTGCCTTTCCAGTTCTTACGCCTCATCTCCACCTTCTTAGCTAAACGGGGTCAGGGATGGGGATATGCAGGCAAAAGAACACAGCATTAGTGCTCCCTGCACAAACCCCCCAGTTTCCCCACTGCGACCCACAAAAAGATTCTCAGTTTCACCTCAAAAATTATAATTCAGAACTGGGAAAGATTCAGAAGGGGGCAACCAAAACTCCGGGACATCCAATGAAACTGAAGTTTCAGGATGGTCGCAGCATTTGGGGGATTTTCCGTTTAGAAAAATGGTGAGGAAGAGGATACACAATGTATAGCAAGGGGAAAGTGGAGAGAGAGAAAGCTTTCTCTCTCTCCCTCCTAACACGAGAACTCCTGGACCTCCAATGAAACTGAAGTTTCAGGATGGTCCTCCTTCTTGCAGTGCACAGCTCAACTTTGGAACTCCCTGCCACAGGAGGCATGATGGCCACGGACCAAGGTGGCTTTCAAATTCATGGAAGAGAAGGCTACCCATGGCTATTAGCCAGGATGGCTATGCTCGGCCTCCACGGTCAGAGGCAGCAAAGCACAGGAGGAGAAAGAGCTCTTGAGTTCGAATTCTGCTTGCTGGTTTCCCACAGGCACCTCGTCAACCCCTGGGGGAACAGGATGCTGAACTGGGCTGGGCCACTGGTCTGATCCAGGCGGCTTTTCTTGTCTTCTTCAGCAGTGAATCCCTCCCCTCAGACTGACCTCTCGTCTCTGGCCAAAGGGGTGTTTGCGTTAGGCCAGTGCTGGCACGAATCCTGGCCCTCCTGAGCTCCCATCACCCCCAGCAGCAGCCAGCCTGGGCAACACTCAGGGATGATGGGAGTTGGAGCAGCCTCTGGAGGGCTGCAGATCTCCCACCCTGCGGCTTGCAAGAAACACCCCCTTTCCCAGAATCCCACTCACCCATTTTGGCTATCATGATGCAATGGAGATGGTGCAAGGCCTCTGCTGACTGCAGGCCAATTTCCTCCACGTCTGCGAGGTGAAGGGACAAGAGCGCCACCAGCTGTCCCAGAAGGGGGAAATCCTGGGATATCTAGGAGGTGGAGAGAGAGATGCATAGTCAGCCCTCGTCCCACAGAGCCCAGCAAGAGAAAACCGTCTGGCATGCTTTCTGGCGGCAAAGGTGGCAGAGGGGCGCAGGCAAGAGACCTGGGCTTAGGTGGCCCACCCAAGGCTTGCCCCAGGGCTTCCCCCCCAGCCAGAACTCACTGGAACTCAGTTCTGGCACCTCTCAGGTGGGCGCTATTGCCATTATTAGAGAATGTGGGAGGTGAGTTCATGGTGATTCCTGGCACCTCTTTTTCTAGGAAAATAGCACTGGCTGGCACCTTCCCCTGGGATGGACATGCCACACCGCTTTGGGGAGCAGGGGAAAATCCATCCAGTTCACACCTGAACTTTCCAAAGCAATACGCCAACCAAGACACAGGTTTTCCTTCAAAATCCTCGCTTCTACAAATTTGGCAATGCAGTTCTCCAAAGCACCACAACAAAATGCAGACGTTACGGGAGAAGGTATACAGAAATGCACAATTCATAAAAGCAACATGCTTGAATCCTGGGTAGACCAAGTCTCTTTTTACCTGTCTACTTTCTGGTACCCCTGGATACATCTTGGCAGCTAGAGGCCCAAATATCCTCTAGGGCTAGGCGTGCCTTTTACCAGCTTTGTCTGGTTTGCAAACTGTGGCTCTTCCTAGACAGGGATAGCCTGACCCCACTGTAGTCCATATTTTGGGAACCTCAAGGCTAGATTACTGCAATGTATTCTGGGGGGGGGGGCTGCCCTTGGCAGTTAAAGCAAGTTAAAAACGAAAATGAAAAAAGACCCATTCGCGTTATCTAATCGGAATGATCTGTTATTGTATTCCTGTGTATTTATATTGTAAACCACCCTGTGATCCTCAGATGAAGAGCAGTATGGAAATTTAATACATAAAAAAAAAACACACATCTGAAATTGCAGCGTTAAGCCTTGGTCACTCACATCAAAGTCCAAATGCTCTGCAATATATTTCATTAGGAAGCTGGTGCTCCTCACAGCTCTTTCGCGCTCATAGATTTTGGTGGAGTCAATCCAGCCGTTTGTGTGCTGCGGGAGAGAAATCATCATCATCACATGGAAGGACAACCATTAATCCGGGTTTGCAAATTCACAAAGCTTTGGCTACTGGCTGGATCAATCATGCCGGGACAAATTGCAAAAAGGGGTTGTTTTGTAAAGGGGAAAGTTTGCTGCAATTTGTTCTACTTTGTTGTTGTTGTTGCTGCTGCTGCTGCTGCTGTTGTTTTATACCCCACCTTTTTCCCTGACAGGGACTCGAGGCAGCTTACAAGCAAAATAAGAACAACTTGAGATATAGAAAAAAGAAGCCATTAAATGAAACACATTGAACATTAATAGAATTAGAAATTAATTGGCTGTTGGTTTGTTTTTGTTTTATTGTGTATTTTGTGTTCTCATTTTGTTTTTTCATGTTGTGAACTGCCCTGTGATCTGTCATTTGTGTGTTTGTGATAATTACAATAATATAACATACACCTCACCACAGCCATAGCCATGGAATGCAGGAAGCATCCTTAGACCAAGCCCAGCCATTGATCCGCCAACCTTGGTGTTGGCCACAGGTAATGACTGGCAGTTGGTGTTGGAGGGGGATTTCCAGCCGGTGGCAGAGGACAGAGTGACTCCAGGAGACATAGGTGTAAAAACCCAAACTAAAACGAAGACTTTATTACTAAGCAAATAAACACAAACTCTGGTGGATGTTATTCCTGCAGGCAGGCAACAAAACTCAGCTTTTTTCCTTTATAGCAACGGTCACCTGCAGCCAATTAATCCCAGAAACTTCTTAAAGGTATACACACACGTTTCTGTGCCGAATGTCCTCTAACACCCCCTCTCATTCAAACAGAAACAATAGTATTTTAAACAGAACAGAACATATTTACATATCACACACAGCAACTCCCAACTTTGCTACCAGTCGTGCATGTTTTTCAAAGGTTAACGCTTTTGTAATTACATCCGCCACATTTTGTGTACTTTCACAATACTTCAGCATTATCTGGTTCTGTTTTACATTTTCAGCTACATTTTGATATTTAATTTCCAAATGCTTTGATTTGTTTCTAAACAGGTCAGATCCAGACAAGGTTATTACGGCTTGATTATCTTCCATAATTTGAACGGGATAATCACACTGTACGTTTATATCCTTGAGGATCTGAACATAAAATTTTATTTCATTACATAACTCTGACAATGCACAGTATTCGGCCTCTGTTGATGATGTGGCCACGATACTTTGTTTTTTGGATTTCCAACCTATTAAAGAATCCCCAAATTGAAATACCATTCCAGAAATTGATTTTTTATCAGGCAGGTTGGCCCAATCGCTGTCAACGTAACACTGCAATTTTGTGGACCCTGAAGATGGTAATCTTAAACAATAATCAAGTGTTTGCTTTAGATACCGAAAAATACGTTTTAAACCTTTCCAGGCGTTTTCTGTAGGACAGCTTACTAGTCTGCTTAGTATTCCAACTGCATAACTCAAATCTGGTCTGCTCCACAATGAAATGTATAATAAACTTCCAATTATTGAATGGTACATTTCAGGATTTACAGGTTCTGTGCATTCTCCTTCATTTTTGAAAAAACCTATTTCCATTGGGGTTTTTACTCCCTTGCAGTTTTGCATATTGTTTCTTTCAAGTAACTCCATTATTTTGTCTTTTTGACTCAACAAAAAACTTCCATCGTTTGTTCTTTGAATTTCTAAACCGAGATAATTTTTTACTGGACCCAAATCTCTTACTTTAAATTCCTTTCTTAGTTGTTCTGCAAATTTTTTCACTTGCTTGTCACTTTTTGTAGAGTAAAGCAAATCATCAACATAACACAAACACAATTCTTGTTTATCACCCTTTCCTTTAGTGTATAAGCAGTTATCAGCTAAGCTTCTTTTAAAGCCAAGATTTTTTAAAGCATTTTCAAGACACTCGTTCCAATTTCTAGCTGACTGTTTGAGCCCATAAATTGCTTTGTTCAGCCTATATACAGAATTCTGTTCTCCTGCCTCAAAACCTGGCGCTTGATTCATAAAAATTTCTTCTTGCAGATTTGCGTTAAGATAAGCTGTTTCAATATCAAAATGGTTTACCTTAAACCCACGTTGTGCTGCAAGAGCTAGCAATAAGCGTACACTTTCACTCCTTGCAGTAGGAGAAAAGGTTTCATCAAAGCTTTCACCTTTTCTTTGAGTAAAGCCTTGTGCTACCAGTCTGGCTTTGTACTTAACATCACCATCTGCCAAGTGTTTTATTTTATACACCCATCTACAGCCCACTGCCTTTTTTCCTTCTGGCAATGGCTCAATGGTAAAGACATTGTGTTCTGCTAAAGATTTCATTTCTGCTTTCATTGCATTTTTCCACCTTACTATTTCCTGGTGTGGTAACTTTAAAACTTCCTCATAATCACGAGGTTCCTTTTTCACATCAACAGTTTTAACTTCTTGTATAGTAAACCTTTCTGGAGGTACCCCCTTATTGCTTCTTTGTGACCTTCTAACTTGAACACTCTCCCCCTCTGAACTATCTTCCCCTTCTGATTTATCCTGCTCAGGAGAAATTGGTTCAGCTTTAGGAGATTGTGTACTGGGATCCTCATCCCCTGAATCCTCATCACTGTCACTTTCAGAACTTTCTTTAATTTGTGGCTTTTCTTCCTCAGATTTCACAAATTTATCTGTATCATCAGAAGATAACACAACCTCTGAATTTCCATGTAAACGAACCCAACCATCTTGCTCACAAAACTCTGCATGTCTTGATATTACAACTCTGCCACGCCCTAGTGCAAAACGATACCCCTTTGACCAAGTTTGATAGCCAACAAACCTAAGTTTCTTTGCCTTGGGCTCTCCTTTCCTTCTCTGTCCTTTTGGGATGTGAACCCAAGCCCAGCAACCAAAAGTTTTAACATGGTCCAAAAAGGGTTTTTTTCCATAAAGCAAAAAATGAGGGGTGTTGTTTATGGTAGAATGAAACAATCTGTTCTGTATGTAGTTAGCACACAGAATTCCTTCTCCCCAATACTTCCTGGATAGGCCAGAATCACATAGCATTGAATCTAGCATTGTTTGTAAAGATCTTATCTTGCGTTCTGCAACTGAATTTTCTTCAGGCGAAAAAGGACACGATTTACGGTGACTAATACCATGCTTTTTCAACCAAACTTGGAGGGCTTCAGACATGAACTCGCCTCCACGGTCACTTTGCAACTGGGTAACTTTGTAAGGAAACTGCCTTTCTATATAGTTGACCCAATTCTTAATCAGTTGACCAGTTTCACTTTTGTGTTTTAACAAATATACCCAAGTATACCGGCTATAATCATCCACAAGAACCAAAAAAAACTTTGCTCCTCCTTCAGACTCTGCAAATGGCCCACAAAGGTCTGAATGTACTAAAGCAAATGGCCTCTTGCTAATTCTAGTACTTTCAGGATAAGACCCTCGCTTACTTTTAGACTCCTTGCAGGTATTGCAGTCTAGAAAAACTGAACATTTTTTCATTTTAATTCCCTTGCTTAATTCTGGCATTTTTGCAATACTGCGGAAATTGGCATGCCCCAAACGACGATGCCACAGATGCTGGCACTCATCATGCAAGGCTCTATTACAGGCTTTAACACATGCCCCAGACTCACTTACTAGCTGGTCTTTCAAAACAAACAAACCATTTTGTAGCGATGCTGTAACCACTTTTCCAGCTTTCTCTATTCTACAGCCTGAACCAGAAAAGGTTACTTTAAATCCCTGCTTAACAAGACTTGTAACTGAAAGCAAATTATTTTCTAAACTTGGTACACATAAAACATTGGTAAACTTGGTACTTAAACAGTTGATATTCACACTACCCTTTCCAGCTGACTCATGCACTGTTCCATCAGCTAGTACTACATTTACAGATTTACAAGGCTGCTTTTCTACAAGGGTTTGTGCAGACTTAACAAAAATGTTTGTCGCTGCTGAGTCTAAAATCCAGTCTTGTCCATCGTCGTGACTGGTGCCTCGAACTGCTGCAGAAACATACTGGATTCGATTCTTCCTGCCTCCTCGCTTCCCAGCAAACGCAGGCCGCCCTTGTCTTGTATTTTCTCCCACAGACACAGTGCACTGTCGTACTAAATGCTTGGTTGACCCACAACGATAGCATCTTCTAACTGTGAACGCTGCTTCCTCTCTGTGGTCTACAACCTCTTTAGGTTGCCGCTCCTCATCAGTTGCATATCTTTTACTGGACTGCCTCCCATTTCTGGAGTTACAGTGAGGGGTTGTGGCCTTCCTCTCATGGCGTCTTTCCTCCTCATCAAGCAAACGCCCAGTTAAGAAATGCATTGTTAATTGGCTTTCTGGGATTGCTTCCAGAGTCATCACTAAATTGTCCCATGACTCAGGAAGTGAAGACAGCACAATATAAACCTTTCTCTGTTCAGAAAAATGTTCCCCAAGTTCATTTAACTGTGAAAATAAATCACGCATTCTTTGAAGGTGTGTTGAAACACATTCACCCTCACTTAGTCTGGCTCGGTACAGAGCTCTCGTTAGAGTAATTTTGCTGCCAGCAGTGTCTCTAATATGTATTGCTCTCAATGCTTGCCAAATCTCACTTGCTGTTTCAAGGTCTCGCACATGAGATAACTGAGACTTCTCTAAACTCAAAATTAAATTGGCATAGGCTTTGTCCTCCAGCCTTTGGTCTGCTTCATCTACTTCTTCATCCTCCTCTTTTACAGGAGGGTTAACAATAGCAGTCCAACATTGTTCTTTCTTTAAAAACGCCTGCATCTGTAAACTCCATGACATATAATTGGACTCTCCCAGTTTCTCTACTGGAAAATAGGAAGCTCCCCCTTGAGCTCCAGCTCCAAGTCCAGCCATGGCGCCACCCAGCTTTCAGCTTTCCACTCAGTTCTTACTCACACGTGGCTTGAAGAAATGTTCGGCTCCTGGTCCCAAACAGACACTCCCTGCCGATGCCTTCACACAGCCAGCTGCTTGAGAAACGCTGAGTTGCTTCCAGTCTCTGGGTTCTTTTCACGCTCTGTCTCTGCCCACTCAGGACTGGGGACTGGGCCCATAACCTGTTGGAGGGGGATTTCCAGCCGGTGGCAGAGGACAGAGTGACTCCAGGAGACATAGGTGTAAAAACCCAAACTAAAACGAAGACTTTATTACTAAGCAAATAAACACAAACTCTGGTGGATGTTATTCCTGCAGGCAGGCAACAAAACTCAGCTTTTTTCCTTTATAGCAACGGTCACCTGCAGCCAATTAATCCCAGAAACTTCTTAAAGGTATACACACATGTTTCTGTGCCGAATGTCCTCTAACAGTTGGCCCTTTGGGGTTTCAGACAGAGAGCCTTTTCCCAGCCCCACCTGGAGATGCTGAGAACTGAACCTGGGACCTTGAGCATGCAAAACAGAAGCTCTGCCCCTGAGCCACGGCCCTTCCCCTAATGCCATCAGCAGAGGACATATCTTTGAAAGGAAACGGATGTGTGCCTTGCACAAACATTCCTAGCAGAACAGAGGCCCAGTTCACCATCAGCATCCACAACCTGTGAGTTGGGCACAGACGCCCCCCATGCAATCATTTCAACAGGATCTGCTGCCTCCCCCTGCTCTGACATCTTGGGGGCTCCCTTACCACTAATATATCCTGCAGCGCCTCCAGAGAGGGGGCCTCCGACAGCAAGCTGGTGAGCATGTTGAGGCAGGCGTTGACCGTCTGCTGATAAAAGTCCTGAAAGCAGAGAAGCAAAAGCGGTTAAAAGCTGAAGACCCCTGTGGAAATCCCATGTGCTCTGGAGCCTTCTAGTCCACCATCCCCGTTCCACAGTAGCCAACCAGATGACCCAGTGGGAAACCCACAAGCAAGACGTGAACTCCTTGGAGGTTTTTAAGCAGAGGTTGGATGGCCACCTGTCACGATTCTATGGTTCTATGCTGACTGGGGCCAATGGCAGCACATCTGGCGAAGCACACATTCCTCAACTCTATTTCTTTTCAATGAAAGGAAAGTCTTTTTGCAGCCCGAAGCCAGAATGAGAAAAGAGGGAAAGAGCAACGGGGGGGGGGGCTGTTGTGGTAAGACTTTATTTCTATACCACCTGTCCGTTGCCCAGGTGAGGAAACACCTTTTGAATGGCACACAGAAACAAGAGAATCCAGTTAGGGACCCAGTATATTAGGGCTATTGCAATAGGGCAGCCTTGCCCTCCAGCTGCTCAGCAAATTCGTGACAAAGCTTATGCAGGGGTTCAAACACAGCGCTCAAAGAGTCATAAACATCAAACGTTCTTTGACATACACCAAGAAAGGTTACAGGTCATGGGATATAAAGATACAGGACTCCACACTGGGTTCAACTTCCTTGGGGTGTCCCAAACCATTTGGCCCTAACTATCGTACTTTAACCTCCATTGCCATAGCAATCAAATCTTCAGAGGGGGCTGTTGCTGTTGTTGTTTATTGAGAAGGCCTTGTGGCAGCTGCCTCACTGCAAGAACGGAGGTTACAGGGAAGCAGGCAGAGGGCCTTCTCGGTGGTGGGGCCCACCCTGTAGAACACCCTCCTATCAGATGTCAGAGCGATACATAATTATACTTCCTTCTGAAGACACCTGAAGGCAGCCCTGCATAGGGAAGCTTTAAATATTTGATGTCTTGCTGTGTTTTAATATGTTGGAAGCCGCCCAGAGTGGCTGGAGTAACCCAGTCAGATGGGCAGCATATAAACAAACGAGCAAAGAAAATTAAATGCTGCATAGGAGGAAGGCATGAGAGTCACAAAATGCAGGAATCATTCGTGGATGCATTCTAGCCAAAGGTTAAATGCAATTAATATTGAAACATGATTAAAATAAAATAAAAACCACACCCAAAGTCCCTGGTTGTTACATCATTGTGATGGGCCAAGTGTCTGTGGCAGCATTATCTGTAGCTTACACGGCCCAGACTCTCTGCCCTGACAACTCCATTTTCCTCCATTCATATCCCTAGAAGCAGAAGGTCCAGTCACCTGGCTCTGTGATGATTGTGTGGGACTCCCGGCTTTGAGTTTTGTAAGTTTCAAGGAGGGCAACGAAAACACCTTCTTGATGCTTTTCTTAACTAGCTCAGACCGAAGCATGGAGTCCATAGGTGGTCTCACGGCACTGAAGAGGAAAGAGAAAGGAGAGGAAATGCTCAGCACCCAGCAGTCCATAAACCTGGTGAGGAAATATGCAGTGTGTCTGGCCAAGTGTATGGCAAGGGAAGGGCCAGGAATAGGTGGGGCAGTGAGAAGTACCTCCCTGTACTTACGTCATGCAGCTGATGGTGACGATGGCGTGGTGCAGGACAGAAATAGAGAAAGATCCCAACGGCTCCTCTTCAATGACTTCCTGTTGTGGGGAAGCACACAGCACGTCAGAGACCTGGAGGCACCATCGCTGCCACCACCACTCCAAGCCCTGACTTGTGCTCTCTCTCCAGCCCAGCCCACTGGACAGCACCTTTGCAACTGGCAAGTGGGTCCTCCTAGGGGAGAAGAGTGGGCTTCCTGGATCTGGGAATCAGATCCATCTTTCACCTGGACAGAGCTCTACCTCCTAAGAGCATAAGATCAGCCTTCTGGACCAGGCCAATGACCCTTCTAGTCCAGCATCCTGTTCTCACAAGGGTGAGAAACCAGGGAGCAGACCATGAGCCCAAGAGCCCTCTCCCCGCCTGTGGCTTCCAGCAACTGATGTTCAGAAACATTGCTTCCTTCCGCTGTGGGGGTAGAACACAGCAATCATGGCTAGGAGCCATGGACAGCCCTCTCCTCCTGGGAGAACCTAGCCTCTTTTCCTTAGGCGCTGGTGACATCCTGCGGAGGTTGCCACAATGTAGGGCTGCCTTGCAAGAGGGTTTGGAAACTTGAGCTGGAGCAGAACGTGACCACCCAGAAATTGTTTGGGGCCAGATGCTCAGAACCTGCAACCCTGATATTTTACCAGAACTAGACCTACACAGCTATTAAAAAAACAACGCTCTGGAAAAAAAAACCCCAGGAGATTCCCCTCCTTTTTTCTTTTTTCTTTACTCACAATGATGCAGATGGTGAGCTCCGCTTTGTGCGGGAAGATGACATGGCCCACATTCGTTTGCACAAGCGCCTTGGTTGTTAGAATGACTGCCTTCATAAAGCCCTTTTTCAGAGCCTCGTCCTAAAAGGAGAAGGGATTTTATAAAATTGAGATTGAATCAAAATCACAAGGCAACATAGAGTCTCACTGACCCTAACCCTAATTCTAATCCTTACCCTAACACGAACCCAAGCCCAAAATTAACCCTAAGCCTAACCCAGAAATGGTCTTGTTAGAGAGTAAAATTCATGTTAAATTCCTGTTTTAGGGGTTGTTTTTAAAAGTCTGGAGCGGATTAATCCATTTTGCATTACTTTCTATGGGAAAACGCTCCTTGCTTTTGGAGCACTTTGGTTTTAGAACGGACTTCCATAACAGATTAAGTTTGAGAACCAAGGTACCACTGTAATACCCCATTTGGTCCTAAGTGTGGAGTCAGTCTACAACCCTTCAGTGGATGAAGCCAGAGACCCTGCCCTAGGGCACAGTCTGAAGGCATGTGGTGCAAGGACCTTGACGGAGTTCAGGAGGTCTGCTCAGTGCCGAGAGAACAAGCAACAGAAGTCCGTGGGAAAATGAGAGCCATACCTTCCTGGTGTTCTGGAATTGGAAGAGGAGCTCTGCCACAATGAGCTCGATGAAGCGCAGGAGGTCCTCAGGCCGCGCCCCAAGAGCCATCTGCCCGTAGCAAAGCATGATGGTGATACTGGCATTCCTCTCCCCTGTATTCTGGGGGGAAAGGGTGGGGAAAGTGAGTTTGGGGCAACACACGCCTGGGTTTCATTTTTCTTGGCTCCTTTGAACAAATCACAGTGAATATTAACCATCCTTTGGGGCGTTTGAAGTAACACTTGATGGACGTTAACTGAAAATGGAAGGAAAAGGTTCTGATCTCCTTCCAGCTGGGTTGGAGGAGAAGTGGAGAGTCGGGGGCACACGACCCCAAGGCGCCCTCAGGTTATGGAACTGTTAGATCTGCACGCAGCTACTATGCCTTTGTAACAATTCGCCTCATTTACAAATATATGGAGGTGAACACAGAGAGTTATACTCAACTATGCTTTGCTTCAAGTAGACCGGTTGAAATGAATGGGCCCAACTTCGTCATGTTCATTAAATTCAATGGGTCTACTCTAAAACATAGTGGAATGTGGCCAGCAGGCACTCCCATAAGGCAGATGAACGCTTGCCCGAGAGCACCCCATTTTCAAAATCTGATTGCAGCTGAAACCTCTCCCCTCTTTCTCTCTGCCTTTCCCAACCTGCCGACTGCCTTCTCTCTTGGGTTTTGCTCCCTCCCCTCAGTTGGAGAGGTGTCCCCTCTTCCAAACTCTAAGAGGTTCTCCATTCAAAACTTTCTGACAGCGGAACACTCTCCATCAGGAGGTTGTGGACTCTCCTTCATCGAAGGCTGGAGGACCATCTGTCAGGGATGCTTGAGCTGAGATCTCTGCATTGCAGGGGGTTGGACTAGATGACCCTTGGGGTCCCTTCCAACTCTACAACTCTGTGATTCTATCTTCTATGGTAACCAGGAGACAACCCCCCCCACCCACCAAAATTAGCTTCCACTATTGAAGAAATGCCAGCCAACCATCCGACAACCAAGCTAAAAACATGAGTCAGTGCACTTTTGTATTGCTTGTACTTTGGGGATGACCAATGGTTTCTAACGAATCCGTTTGGCTGACTGACTGAGCAAAAGGATCAGATTAGATCTAGGATCTGGAGCCACAGAGACAGGACTGCTGGAGCCCACTTCAGAAGGATGGCTGAGACATACACCCAGAGGAAGTTTCTGGCCTTACATACTGAGAGCATTAGCAGATCTAATTCCTTTATTGGAGTGGTAAGGATCACATCCCTTGAAAAAGAGCATATTTTGAAATGGAGGAGGATTCATGCTCTTCCAAAGCAGCTCTGTTTTTCTAGATCAGGCATCCCCAAACTCGGCCCACCAGATGTTTTGGGACTACAGCTCCCATCATCCCTAGCTAACAGGACTGGTGGTCAGGGATGATGGGAATTGTAGTCACAAAACATCTGGAGGGCCGAGTTTGGGGATGCCTGTTCTAGATAATAGGAACCCAGAGGCTGTTTCGTATGCTTTGATGTGGATCTAAATAGCAGCTAAGGACCCAATAAATTGAGAGAAAAAGGGGAAAAGGAAATTTTAAAACAAATAATGGAGAATGAGAAGAGATTGGTTACCAGTCCTGAAGATAAAAAAACTAAAATGAATATTAAAGCGTTACAAGCACAATTTGCAATGATAATAAAAGAGAAGTAGAATGGAGATAAATAAGAAAGAAAAGAAGTTATTTTTATATGCAGTGACAGCAGCAAGAATACTGATGGCCCAGAAATGGAAACAGGAGGAGGTACCTACGACAGAAGAATGGAGAACTAAAATGATGGACTATGCAGACCTGGATAGAATGACTGGAAGGATCCGGAATCGACGAGACCAAAGATTTAAAGAAGATTGGGAAAAGTTTATCCAATATATGCAAAAACTGAGTGATAATCAAATTACGTTTGTAAGTTTTAAGGAAGCTCTGTGAGGGGAAATGGTTAAAATGGCAGAAATGTGTAAAAAGTAATAAAGGGAAAGAATTGCAGACAAATTGAGGGAAGTCAAAAAGAGAAGTAAGATTTAATTAAGATGTATGGAGTGTATGAATTTGTTTTTTGAATTTGAAAACCAATAAAAATATAATATATATATATAAAATAGCAGCTAAGGACCCAATTTGCCAGGATCTTCTCAACCTGGTGCCCTTCAGATATTGTTGTGCTACAACTCCTGTCGTGTCTAACCATTGGCCATGCTGTCTGGGGCTGATGGGAGTTCCAGTTCAAAACACACAGATGGGGAAGGGGCACCAGGTTGGGGGTGGCTGAGCCACACTCTTGCAATGCTCCTTCCTCATTTGACAACCTTACCTCAGAATGGCCGAAATCACGCAGCGCCATCAGCATCTGAGATAAATGGCAGTATGAAGCCACACCGACAGCTTCAGAAATTCCCTATGGAGAACGATGCACGTGTTATGAAGAAAAAATGCTCCTTTTCCCTTATGGGGTACCCAAGAGCCCATAGAGTCCTTTTGTAGGTTCTCTATTGGTAGGAGAAAATAACCAACCAGAGAATACTGAAAAGAAAAGCAGCTAGTAAGCCTGATCTTTATTAACTGTTGCAACAGGGTGCTCACAACCACACGCAGGAAGCAGGAGGGACCCCAAACAATGACATGCAAGCCCTTATATAGACATTTTAAATTTGCCCACCCTGGAGCCCAAGACCTGCCTCCCCCAATACATCATACATACATCAGAGAAGGGGCAATCTACAACAGAATCCTGTCTGACACAAAACCTGTTGGTTGGGTCACCTGGCTGCTAATGGGTTTACCTGGACAGCCTGGCTATTCTTTCGTGATGATAACTACTTAATTCCTGAGTCCAGGTCACAGGCTCGCCATATTCATATCTTAAAAGTGCCTTTAAGGCAGGATTTGTGAGCAAAGAGACAATGGGGAGGTTTTTCTCATTTCCTCCCTCCTTGCAGAGAAACATTTGAGGTCAGTTTGGGAGAGACAAAATGGTTTCAGGACTTTTCCCTGTACTGTTTCAGACATGCGGTTTATATATTTATGTATGTGTTTGCTTGGTACATTTATTTTATATCTTAGACCTTATAATTCTCATAACACACGTCAATCTGCACTTTCAGAAACAATGTTTGAAACAAAACATTGCCATCTTTCAAAATTTGCACAGGTAATTTTGTGATGCAGTCATCCAACCAATGTTTGAATAAATGTGCTGTATTAGTGGGATCTGCTGGCAAAAACGTGTACATTTGTCCAAACCGTGTAGCACTGCCTAGGACACAGGAATTCACTCACCTCTCTGACTGTTCCCTCTTCAAGAGGCAACTTTAGAAGTAAGTGCAAGTATTGGTGGACTGTATCTTTGTTCCTGGAATCCCGTAGTTTGAGTCCGTAGTATCTATAGAGGACAGTCTAAGGGGTGGGGAAGGTTTGGGTGAGTCACAGTGAGGAGACCCCACCAGTTACATAAACTGCTTTTCGAAAACCAAAGAATTTCAATTTTACCTTCTGAAAATGTCAGGTAATGCTTAATAAAATAATAATAATAATAATAATAATAATAATAATAATAATAATAATAATAGATTGCAAGTACTAGACAATTGTTTTAATGATTTGTATGCAATTTGACACACAGTTTACTTACCACACAAAGCTAAATTATATTAATTTAACCACAGTATCTTCTGAAATCCCAAGTCATGCTACAACTCTTTAGTACCCCTCATTTGAGGAATTTGAAAGCTGAAAAGTTCAGCATGTCCTAATTGCTCTGCCTCCACAGCTGGAGGCAGGAATGCTTCTGAATACCAGTTGCTGGAAACCACAGGAGGGCAAAGGCCTCTGTGTTCGAATTCTGCTTTCAAATTTCCCATGGGCATCTGGTTGGCCACTGTGAGATAAGGATCCTGGACTGTGCAGGCTGCTGGTCTTACCCAGCTGGCTCCTCTTTCGTTCTTACGACACACTTTTGTCCTAGATAAACTGACCCTAGGTTCTTCCCGCTTTTTAAGAAAACTAGTACCTGCACCCGCAGCCTCTTATGGGTCTCCCCACCCACCCTGCATGACTGAAATTGGGAGAGGGTGGTCTCTTTTCTGGCACCCACAGTTGTTGGTTGCCAAGACAGAGAGAACACCTGAGCAGCAGGTTGCGTTCAGACGATCTCCTTGTATTCCCTGCGGGGACAGCCAGAAGAGGCAGAGTTGGTCAGCTTGCTCAATGAGGGAGGCTGCCAAACGCTCTGCCCCCTCTCTTTTCCCAAAGGGGGAAAGGGGGAGCCAACTGCTGTGGACCCTCGAGCTCAGAAGAAACCAGAGTTCCCTCTGCACCAGACATTAGAAGCACCCTCATGCCCCATGAATGGTCTTGCTTCCCCCACAGAACCCTTGTTCAAAGCTCCTTAAAATATTAGCGTTAGATCAGGGTTTCCCAAACTTGGGTCTCCAGCTGTTTTTGGACTACAACTCCCATCACCCCTAGCTAGCAGGACCAGTGGTCAGGGACGATGGGAACTGTAGTTCAAAAACAGCTGGAGACCAGATGTTTACGGCCCTCTCAGGGCCTGAGTGTGCGAAGCAGGAGTGGGGGATGACCTCCCACGCTCCATGAAGAAAATGTTTTGCTGGAAGTTCACCCTTCCAACAGGAGGTCATTCTAGGGGAGTTGTGTTCATGTTCAAGCCAAATAACCAAAAGAGGGAAAGGGCGAGGTTTCGCTTGCTGACGCTTACTGAGGAAGCCTGCACTCTGATTGGCTTGGTAGTTCTGAGGGAGCTTTGCCTCTGAATGTTTTGTTCAGTGTCTCCCTGCTATGTACAAGGCCTGTGCTAAGAAAGAAAGTAAAACTTCTCTGTTCTTCTTTCCTCAGATTGTATGCTGCCCACCCCACCCCACCTGGTGTCATCTACAATACTCAGAACTTACCTTCTCATGTCCTGACTTAGAGGTCTTCTGCTGGCCAGGGACTGCTGCTCTCAGGTTTGAGGCAGCTGAATCCTGGGACAAGATAGTCGATTTTCTGTGGACACTGGAGGTCTGCTTTTAAAGTCGGAAAGAAAAAGGAATAAAATTAAGAAAAGTGTCATTTTTTTGTCTAGAGAACAGTCGCCATTTATTTGCCACTTGTCTTCTCTTTAAAAAAATATGCATGCCTAGAAATAGACTAGACTAGAAATATCATAATTATCTGTCTATGCATTTCTAACAGTATAACCAAATCAGTAGTTTTTGATATAACGGCAAAAAACAACTCTGAACATTTATTATTCCCAAAATCTTACTGGCTAGGGATTTGAGTCATGATTTTAAATTGATTTGATTTAAATCAACTCTACCCTGCATCATAAGGGACGTGGGTGGCGCTGTGGGTAAAACCTCAGCGCCTAGGGCTTGCTGATCGCATGGTCGG